CTCTTTACGTTCGACTTTTTTAGTTCGGCGAATTCTTTTCGAACACTTTCGACTATTTTCAAAAGGTCGTTTCGGGTGCCAGTTATTATTGAAATAGCGTTTTCGATGGATGAAACGTTGGTGATGCAGAAATCTATGCGTTCTGCATATTCAAGAGGATACTGAGGTTCGTTAGTGAACGATCGAAATGTATCGATTTGAGTGACTAAAGTGTCACTGGTTCTCTTCAAACTCGACTTGTGGAAGTAAAGTGCCATTGCGTTCTACCTTGTGCTGACTTTTAGAGCGTCAGCGCGGTGCTCTCTCTTGGAATCGGCTGTGTGGCGGGTTGAAAATAACCTGGCCACTGACCTGGTTCGTCAGTTCGGCAGAAATGCAAGGACTGACAAACGGGCGACACGTTTAGTTCGTGTTTGCCGATGCACCAAATGTGCTGCCCCGCGATGGTTGTATAAGGTGGTTCAGTACAAAATGTATCAAGCACGTTTATGAAGCGATAACCAAGCAATCCTACAAGCTGCACGCGAAAAGAATGAGGTCGGGCGGGGCGGTGCTTGAGGGTCGCGTCATCGCACAGACGACTTGTAATCGCATGAACGAGGACGCGACACTGCGCGGGCGCCCGGCGCGGCCCATTTTTAACAAACGACAATTACAAGCATATGTAAATAAGACATAGTATCACTTGCTCCTCGAGTGATGTTGTTGGTGCCAATGAACGCGTCGTTGAGCCACGCCCGATCGGAAAGAGGACCACGCGATTCCGTTACGACTGAGCAGCACTTGATGGCATAAATACAGCACGGTAGTAGTAGAAGGATTAAGGGTCCGATGACTCAGCGGAAGGCAGAGAAGACGAAATCCTGCAGACGATCAGTAGACGGTTCGGGAGCAGAGTAATACCATGACGTAGACAGAGATGATTGCGGTATGAATACTATAAGCGGGATACAGATGTAGATGGACGATGAGGAGGGGTAGTAGTAGAATAGGGGTTGTGTAGTCAGTTCTTGCGCTTCTTTTGTGGAGGTCCAGAACAAAGAACAGTGTTGTGGCTTCCACGGCAGAAGCTGCAAGAAACAGTGCATAGTGCAGCACCGTGGTCGGCACGTAGGCACCGACTGCAGAGTCGCAGCTCTGCCACTCGCATTGCACGACTTACTGGGTCGGAATACCGATGACATCTACCAGTGTAATGCCCGTCAACGTTTCTCGGCTACGGTGCAGAAAATACAGGTGGATTTGGGAGCAGTACGCTCCAGCAAGGTGGCAATTTCAGCTCTCATTTCTGCAGTTAGCGAATACAATGATTCAAGCCGATTAGTAAGGGTTTGAAGAGTGTTACCAATAAGCTTCTAATGTAGCAGCTTGCGTGAATTCCATGAGACGTATCTCCTCGTCGAGGTCGTCGGCCATGTATGATGATTGAATGACTCTAGATTTCGTAGACATGATTTGAGCAGAAAAAAGTGTGGGAACCGCAGCTGCGGCTTCATGTTTTGTCGGCTGGCACCCTTTTTTATTGCTGCCGCTTTTCCGCTAGTCAGCGTACGGTACTCACGAGCAATGATACTATCAGTTTTGCGATGAACGCAATGAATTCTACCAAATGAGGCACGGTCTCTGCTATTAGCTTTAATAATGCTAAAATTATGGCTGGTCCGAAGAGATAGGTAAGCAGTATCATCAAGGCCAAAGCAGTTGCAGCTGCAAGGGTTACTTTCCAGTGCTTGAAAAAAACCATCCACATAGGAGACAAGTCCGGCAATTTGGCATCACTTAAGCCAGTCGAGTTGAGGGATGTGTTGTTGCGTGGTTGAGAGGAATACGTCGTTTTCCTCTGTATATGTGACGTAGTGGAGAATACCATTCAGTTTCGTCGAAACGTTGTTGCCGCCACAAACCGTGTAACAATAGGTATCTATCACGGCGTTTTCAAAGACTAATTTCACCTTTGTCGTCGTATTATCTGGGCTACATTCTATGGAGAAAACGTTCTGTGCGCAAGAGATAGTTGCCCATGATCTTGATCTCTGCTTGACAAGAAATTTCGACTGAACTGCCCTGCCTACAACTGTAGCACCCCGACAAATTTTTTGCGCTTATCGCACAATTTGAGTTGACGCTCAAGTGCGCAGTTTCTATTTTCCTGTTGGAAACGATTGCTACTGTTGTCTCCCCTTTGTTGTATTCTGCGAATAGGCTGCCAGATGCGCTTGATATTGTGATGTGTGGTGTCATCAGCGGCAAGACATATTCGCTGTTGCGTCGAATTCTGTTCGAAAGTATTATACGGGCACCGACAGCTGGGTGTAACACCTGTGGCGTCACAATCACAGTAGCGCGCATTGGTGCACAAGGAAAAATTGGAGATTGATTTGTCGTAGGTAAGGCATGTAACGGCAAAGATGTGATCTATCGGGACAATGAGTGTTTCGTTGTCTGTTTGCGCATACTTTTCGTGGAGCCCGAGTTCAGGTGTATGTGTCGATATCACCGTGAAATTAAAATGCGCAAATTCCTTTGTTTGGTACGGTATTAGAGAAATTGTACCATTCTCTCTCGCGTTGTACATTTCTATGCTGATTTTCAGGGTAATTTTTGGTCTCCATGCAGCGCATCCGAAGATTTCGTATACCCGTTGTGATGTTGGTATATGGGATATGCGGAAGAATGTGCATACCCTTCGAGGAATGTACCACGGAATCAAACATATGCAGTCAACCCCACTGCACTGTGTGGAGCAGTATGTGTAACCAGGGTATTGCGCAGTAGCGTTTAATTCGGGAATTATTGCCGAGGGATGTAGAGATTCACACGTATCATGGTTGCATGATCCCATCCCACGGCAACGTGTTACGCGATCCACTTGGTAACGCGTTTCTCTTGTCCAAAAGTAAGACACTTTTTGACATGTCAGATGCTCCGAAACACGCTCTATTTTGATGTTGCCGACGCTTTTGTTTTCATGCCGTAGCTGTACACAAAGGCTCGTTTGAATACTATTGAAGAGTATCTCGCGTTTGTACTCGTAGTGACATTCGTTGTGCTGGGAGCAAGTTATATCGACAGAATGTCTCATATAGCCATCCTGACAAGCCGATCCTAACGCGACAAGTAAGAGAATTGTTACCAGAAGAACCGTCACCATCGAACTTGGTGATGCGGGTCGAAAGTTTGCCAACGAGAACGGTCTATTTTCTCTCATCGATGATGTGGTTGAGAGCACAATGTTGGTACTGGTAGCCACTACGGTTTTAGTTGGCTCCTTCTTGCGGAAAATCAGCCAAAGTACGAGTAGAACGAGGCTAATGATGACGTAACAGAAAACCCCGATCGAAAGTATTGCTCCAGCAGGCCAACAGTGCGGATTGCCGATGAGCGCTTTAGAGAAAAGATTGGCAACTGTGTTGCAGTATGGAGGAGGTACGCATGACCTCTGACTCAAAAAGTCTCCTGATCGCAACGTTATCAACCACTCAGTGGGATGTGGAGAAGGTCGGAGTGCGTACTGAAGACTTTCGAAACTCTCGTTGAACGTCCTGCAATTGTTGCTGAGACATATTTCAAAAGGCGTAGTCTTGGGATATATGGTTACTATACCCTGCGAGCAGAGAATACGTTCTGTTTCGTCGCATTTTGCAATGTTCACTGTCATCAACATCAAGATCGCAAATATGGAACCGATTTTAGACGGCTGTCTTACACCAGTTGGCTCTATTTCTTCATGTTCCATGAATGCATTATCTTCCATTTCTTTCTGTTGTCGTCTGATTGCCTCATATGCTTTTGTTTTCGCCGTGCGTCGAGGTCTTTCATATTTCCGCTGGGCCTCGCGCGGTATAATTGGAACCTCTTCGTTTTCAACTAGGTTACTTTCCGCGCTCTGCTGGTGTTCTATTTTCGCTGGAGCTACTGCCCTGATCTCAAGCGGGTAAAGCTTTGTTATTGGTCGCTGAATATAGGCCTTTTTGTGAGGAAGCTTAATCCTCGCCGAAGCGTACGAATCCATCAGCACTTTTTATGAGTTCCGTTATTATTCCGATTGCCCAGTGACCTCTTGGTATAAGCTCTTGTTCAATCAGCACTATTTCCCCTATTCTAGGAGATGCTCTTGCGTTATGTCTGCGCTCTTTGAATAAAGACTTTTGCGTATCTCTCAGAACGGTAAGGTACTCAACGTTCCATATGTTCCAGAACTTATCCGCTATTCGTTCTGAGTAATCAAGCGCTTCTTTTGCCTGAGCTACAGTTTGAATGCAGTCAGGATCGTACGTCGTGTCATCATCGGAAATGTCGGCTGAGTTCGAGGGTGGCAGTGCGAAGCTAACGTTTCCTTGTAAGAAATCGATTGGACGCAGCGGGTAAACAGATGCATCTGTTGTGCTGACCGCTGTGAGTGGCCTAGTGTTTAAAATTGCCTCGACTCGTATTGTAACTGTCATCATGTCTGTGAGGCTCAATTTCTTCCTCCCGACACTTTTTTGCAAGGCCAGTTTCACGGAACCAACTAGTCTTTCCCAGACACCCCCCATCCATGGAGACCCGGGAGGATTGAACACCCACGTGATTCTATTGGTGGAGCAGTAGGACATGATTGGATTGTCCTGGTCAGGTTCAGTTGAGAACAGAGTGTCAATGACTTTTTGACCTAGAACAAAATTTGTTCCACAGTCTGTCCGGACTATCTTAGGGACGCCCCTTCTTGAAACAAAACGTACGAAACTACTGAGAAACGCGCCAGCTGTTAGGTTCTCAACCACTTCAAGATGAAGCGCTCGCGTTGTTAAGCACGTAAAAATGCAAATGTACGCTTTGAAGTTGTTGTTCAGTGAAAAAGGTCCAATAAAATCGCATCCCGTATTTTGGAACGGTTTGGCCTGGACAACTCTGTCTGATGGTAGCGAAGCCATTTGAGGGGCTCGGAACGGGAGGCTCTGAGCTTTCCGACAGGTTGCGCAGCTTTTGAGAATATTTCGAACAGATCTAGATGGTTTGGACATCCAGAATCGTTGCCGCGCTAGTATAAGCAAATGGATTTTTTCCGCAGTGCGCGTCACTCGTGTGCAAATCTAGCAAAATGAGACGCATGATGGCAGTATGCGAATCAATATAGATCGGATTTGCGGGTGTCAAATGGTAGATTTGCGTTCTGCAAGCGCGACTTGCACCGTATGATACCGTTTTCATCGCGAAATATTTGCTTATCATGATAGCGTTTGTTGAGCTCTCCTACGTCGATATTTCTATGCTCAAGCTGTAGCAGAAGTGTTTCTGCTGCGGTTAAATCGGTTGCTGTGATCATTAACTCTGGGGAGAGTTTTGAGATGTATCCCTTGAAGGGTTGCATTCCTCTTTCTTATCAAGTGAAGGTTTCTCTCAGCTTAGCTATGAACTTGCCGACATACCGTTAGTGTCCGTAGCGCTTTGTTGAAACTGTTAAAACAGCTAAGGTCAAGTAGTTGATCTGGTGGTGTATTATTGCCGCTGGGAACCACCTCGGTGAAAACGACATTTTCCTTTGCCTTCAACTTCATCGAAGTCCTGTGGCTCGATAAACTCGATGTTAGTTAGCAGGGATCGTTCATTTTGATCGACAAGCCATTGGGGTCCCTTGATCCAATCGAGTTTTCCGAGCTGCGCGCTTGTCACTCCACGCGTTCCAGCATCAGCAGGATTCTTCTCGCCTGGGACGTGAAGAATTTGGCAGTGATGTCCCAGAGCAGTCAATTTACATATGTGCGTTTTGATTTTGTCCCTTTGGTTTGCCACAAAAAGCGGGACTTTTCTTGTAGTGCGAATCCAACTCAATGCGATCAGGCTGTCACTCGCTATGTTTATTGCGGAGAATTCGTGGCCAATGGCCGACGCTATCGATTCCGCAAGCCGAAACGCAAGCAAAATTGCGAGAAGTTCTAGCTTAGGTGTGGACAAAGCTCGCTTCTGCGGTGCAAGTTTGGTTTTTCCGCTGATCAGAGGTGACACTGCGGTAGAGCTACTATTTTCTAGATAGGCACATACCGCCATTGCATTATTGCTTGCATCCGCGAAAACCCACAAATAAGGTTTGGATAGCGTAGCGTTGACAGCAAAGAACTGTCGTGGGATTTGCACGTGGAAGTTGTTAATGGCTTGTGTTGTTTTCTGCCACTCTAGGGCGAACTCAGGATCTACCACAGAGTCCCACTCCAAATTTTTCTGGAACATGCTCCTGAGCATATGTTTTTGGCATATCATGAGTGGCGCGCCAAGACCGATGGGATCATAAATTGAATGATGTTGTTTCACATAATCTCTTTTTACCTTAGGCTGGGAAGAAAACCCAGTTTTCAGAGAGTAGGTGTCCGTTATAGGGTCATAGTCAACTCCGAGAAGTTTCATCTGCTCATATGGTGCTCTGTCTTCCTTTTTTATCTGATCATTGACCTCTGACAGTTGCTTACGAATGCTCGCAGATTCATGCCTATTGCAGAAAACAATGCCTTTAGATTCTTTGTATTTTTCTACCTGCTTCTTCTTTGGAATAAGCTCCCAGTAGAACATTGTCCACGTAAAGTAGCGATAAGATTTCGTTCGCGAGTGGTGTGTCACATTTCTGCAGGTAGGCTGAAAGAACCATGTTGAGCATGCTAGGTGACGACGTTATCCCAAAGGGCAAGTCTTTTCCATCTGTACTCAACTATATTACCTCGTTCGGGTGGTTTTTCAGGATCACGTACCCAAAGAAACCTGCACAAGTCGCGATGGGACTCGTGAATTCGGATTTGTGTGAAGGCAGATTGTATGTCTGCAACAAGAATAATAGGCTTTGTTCGGCTCGCGATGAGTATGTCGTGGATCTTATTCACAAATGATGCCCCAGTGTGGATGACGTCGTTCAATGATAACTGGCCCTTCTGCTTAGAAGACGCGTCGAACACAATCCTAAGTGGATTAGGTTTGTGTTCTCTCCACACCCCCGAGTGCGGCATATAGTAGGTTCCTACCGACTCTGGTACTGATTCGATTACTTTCTCGATTACGTTGTCGGCGAGATACTGTTCAATTGTTTTTACGTACCACGCTCTTTTTTCGAGAAACTGTGCCAGATGTTTCGTCTGCGCGACTAGGCGACGGAAGGCCATATTGTAATTGTTCGCTAAATCTACCACGTTTGCTTTCAGAGGGAAAGGGGCACTAACGGTTTCGCCATCGTATCGAAGTAGTTTAGCATATCGCGAAAGATAGGAATTTGCATTTTCATCATCAATTTCTTCCTTTGTTGAAATACCTAGTCCTTCCATTTCGAACATATTTCTGAGCATTTCAGTATCTGAAATAGCCGTGTTGCAGGCCACCGGATGGATGGGGGTGCAGGAATACTCTGGTTTCGTTTGACCGCGGCCGTAAGCGGCGAATCCGAACACCGTTTGCGCTAGCCGGAGACCAGTGGGTAACTGGATAGGGGCGGTATTTTCATCGACGAAAGAGCAGTAAAGATCAAGTCCAATAAGTATGTGAGGCAGTTGATATTCCCCTCGCATACGCGTGTTCGTCAGGGAATATGTTATGGTTTTCCATGAATTGTATGTCACGTTCATCGAGCCACACTGCAGGAAATCCTGTGTTATTTGGGTTTGGTTCTCATAGAAAATTCAAGTTCCCGCCCTTGTGCAGATTGCACGCGTAGCACAACATGATGGGTCAGGAAAGTTTCTGACAGCCCACTTATTCCTGATAATGAACATTGCTCCGTTTTCAGCACGGGTAGACCCAGATGCTGGGCGGAGTTCTCTAAAATCAGACTCAGTTGTGCACCTGTATCAAAAAGGAAGAGTGCTCTATGGTATTGTTCGGAGAATAGTTCCATACCAATCCTTCTGCCGTCATGAGCACAACTTGTTCTCCTGCGGAGATAGTGCCAGACTGCGCTGGAATGTGTTGCTTACGGAAAGCAGCAGACGATACATTCAGCGGATGTGCTTGAGAGGGCGTAAAATTGGTAGGTTCACTGATATTTCTTTGAACTGTCGCTTTTGCGGGTTGTTGGTAGACGTGCAAAGAGTTTTGCGCGAACTGCTTGTTGCCTTTACTTCTGTCTGTGCGGATCTCATTTTGCTTCTGTATGCAAAGCGTTTCGTCGTGCAATTTACCACAGCGCTTGCAGTTGGGACGTCTGCACTCATTGCTTTTGTGTTCACCAGAAAAACATTTCCAGCAAAGATTCTTTTCCATGGCAATTTTTCGGCGTTCGCGTGCTTCTTTGACAGTGCGGCACTCATGAGATCTGTGGTTAGTTCTGTCACAGAAATTGCAGATGGGTCTGAAAGGCGCTTTCTGTGTGTGCAGGCTCTCTTCTTTCTGCTCTGATTCATGGCTGGTTAGGCGTTCATTAATGTACGTATGCCTTAAGATGACCGCTTCGAGCTGATCTAATGTTTCGCCGACCGTATAATGTTTCAGCGGACTTATTTTCACGTAAGAATTCCTCTATAATTTGACGCGGAAGCTTTTGGAGTATTGTCTCAATCCACATAGGATCACAAATGTTCACTACCGCATAACCTGAAGACGTCATTTCATTAACGAGGGCTCTTATGTTGTCAAATACCGCTTCACACGATTTGGCGTTGTTCTTTGCCGCGGGTAAGGAGGAAAGTCTTTTTATGACATTCGCACGGACATTCGTTACATTGCTGTATTTTTTCAGTATGGTGTCAATCATCCATTGGTAATTGGCCGGAACCATTTGTATTCCTTTGATGGTATCGGCAG